ACATGTCCAAGTACTGTATAACCAACACAATTCATAGATGGGAAAGAGCAAGCCTTGAGCAAGAAAGGATTAGTATGATTATCTGGTTTCTTAACACCAGATTGCAATATTCTCTTGTACAACAAAACAGCTCCTTCTAAGTCCCCACTTTCCACAAATCCCCTAATTGTCACATTCCAAGAAAATACATTTGGTTCTGGGATCCAATACAAGATCTTGGTACAATACTCAAGGGCCTGCGATTCAGATAAAGCACAGAACGTAACAAGACGACTTGCGGCAAAGTTGTCGTTAATGAAGCCAGTCAGGATCATCTGGGCCTGGATTTGCTTCAACTGTAGCAAGGACTGACACCTTTCTAAGAGAGAAAGGAGAGGGTTGTTTTGAACGAAGCTGTGGGAGGTGTTCCAATTGATGGGTTTCACATAAGGACACAAGGAACGAGTGTGTAAACAACAAAGGAGACCTAAAAGTGGGATTTTTAAAGGGTATCTGAATCTCAGTTTGTTGGCAAACAGGATAAACATGACTTGCCAATGATCCACGAAACATGACTTGCCAATGATCCACGAAACATGACTTGCCAATGATCCACGAAAGGCAATAATATAGTGTCGGGTTTCTCTTAAGTCCTATATAGAGATATAGATATAACAAGTGGGAACAAACAAAATTTTATGTGTGCATGATACTGAAGGATTGAAATGAATTAGGGTTGACAGTGAGAGAAGAAGAAGAAGAAGAAAGGGTTACCGTTACCGTTAGTGAAGAAGATCAATGTGTTGTGTTCTTTACGCAGGGTGTTTTGTTTTTCGTAATTTCAAAACTGCAAGCAAATAAAAAAAAACACATGTTTTCTTATGACCTCAATAAAATTTAAATAAGTTTTTATAACTTCCAAAATTAGTGTCTTGAAAGCTTAAGCTAAATAGTTGTAAAAGTGATTTGAATTGAATTAGATAATTTGACTGTTGTAAATTCTATTAAAGAAGTCTAAAATTGTGATAATATTAATAAATAATAGTTAAAATATTAACTATCATGTCAAACTACAAATTTCAGTCAAAATTGAATTAAAATTAAGTATAAATAAAACTAATATGCATCCCAATGAAATACTCTAATTCCATATATTTATGCAGTTTTTTAAACTAAGCATGTTTTAAAACGTTAATTCCAATGCAATTTAATTAAAAAAAACTGGTAATTTTTGTTTGAGCATTATGAAGTTTAATATTTTTCATTTGTAAATATGAGATATTGATTCCTTATTGTGTAATTTTTATTTCAAAGTTATCCTTAAATATTAACGTTTAAAGAGAAAATATTATTAATTAACTTTTTAAATTTGAAACTAAATACATTCATAATATTAATTATTTTTGAACTATAGTAAATAAGAATATTTCAGTAATACCATCTCTTAAGTCTATTAATATTGATTGCATCAATAAAACACCAAAATAACGATAATATTTTATGTAAAAAATATACCTTCAACACAAAAAACTATATAAATAAAATAGTTATCTAAGAAAAAATAGTCATCTACATTTTAAAATAATATCATATACACTAAAAATAATTAAAACTTCAATTTCAATAATATATCACGTGCTTCCATCTCTCAGTTCTTTTAGCTAAACGTTATTATGGTTTTCCTCGTATTTCATAAATCAAATGAATATTGAATCAACCAACATGCATCTTTACTAAGAAAAAAAGAATCTTAACATACGATTATTAAATTTGGTAACCCTAAATGGTATCAATTTTTCATTGACGGGTGTAATTTGATCCAAGTGAATACTATCTTATTATAATGCAGAGTAATAATATCAAAGAATGCTATCAAGCCAAATTTCCAAAATCATAATATACAAATGGGGGAAAAGAAGTATGTCAAGACTTACACAGATGTTATATTAACACTTTTGTCATGCATGGTAAGAAATGAGAAATGTGGATGTGAAAGAAGAAAACCTAAACATACATCCAGAGGTTATGCAGAAGATTGCCTAAATCACAAGATTTAAATGCAAGATTTCCTTGCCTTTTTTCCTATTCTAAGTGGTAAAATTGTTTAAAGAATAATCAATTTGTATCTGTCCCCAACTCACTCCTGTTTTCATTTCTACCAACCATCATTATAATGTTTCTCATTGCAGTGACATTGCTTTGCTGGAATTTCTCCACATACTGCTCGATGCCAATGACCAATTTCCACAGCAAAGCAACAAAGTGGACACATATTTTCACGTAATATTGAAAATCAGGCCACGGATGTCATTAGGGCAAATCATAGATAAGTCCAAAGCGAGGCTTGTCCTGCAGAGAATCTTCATACAGGGGCTGAAGCAACATGGAAGTTCAAGCAGTGTCACTGTTGCAATGATGCTTGAATTATAGATGTAAGAGATGGATGAATACGAGCTGTTCTTAAGGAACGGGCTTCACTTTTTCCTTCAGCATACTCTTCTCCCAGCGGCCACCTTGGGCGTATATCATACTGAAATAAATCATAATTCAACAAATTTTAGAGACTAGTGAAGCACAAGCATAGTACGAAGCACAGGTTAACTCAAATTAAGAGAAGAGAAGGTCCAGTGTTGCACTAAATTCGTGTGAATTTTACATTATTAACAGTAACATCAACAACAGCATCAATTATAAGTATGCTAAATCCTATGGCCTAGTACATTTGGTTAAAAATGAAAGGCTTAATTGCACTTTTGACTATCAGGCTATTATGATTGTGCGGTTTTAGTTTTCCAGGTTTCACTTGTGCCAACCGAGTCCTTGAGGTATTGTAAAAACTTGCTATTTAAGTCCCTCAGGTTCCCAGTTGGATCCATTCCCTAGATATCCTAATTGTGAAATTGTAATACCCCATACATGTTATAAATTGATGCGATGTAAGCAGATTTCAATTTTGAAAAGGACTAAACTCGTATAGTTGCGATGAATAGATGGCATAACTGAAATTGCACCTTTGTAATACCCGAGTTTAATTGATACAAATTCAAAGGAATAAAATCACACAACTGTGATACGTGAAAAACCCAAAGCACAATCAGGCAAACAATGGATTAGATACGGATATAGAAAAGAATTATAAGAGGTTAAATTCATCTTAACAGGATTTCCCAAATGAGTTCATAGCAAGATTCACCCACAAATGGATATAACATTGTTTTAGAGTTGGTTCAAATTATTACTCAGCCCGATGGTACAAAAAAGTGTCGACCATACATCTTTTTTCAAAGTTTGAATATGTTGAGTACTTTAAAACGAGTAAATTTATGTTTTGGCCCCTACAAATCTTTTTCTTTATTTTTCATCATTGCAAATTTGAAATAATTATACTTAGTCCTTATAGAATGTATGAATTTTGGCTTTATTTGATGTAAACTATTTTTCTTATCTTTTTTTATCTTTCTAAAATTTGAAATCACTAATTTTGGTTAGAATAGATAAATAATATACATACATACATACATATATATATATATATATATATATATATATATATATATATTTAATGTGTTATTTACGCAAACTAGATAACAACATTAGTAAACACCGCTTGGAATACTCACTTGACTTTTCATTTAATACATAAACAACGTCATAATAACTACGTGTAGAAAAATGGCTTTCAATTTTAGAGAGATTAAAAACAAATAAAAAATTTACATGGAACAAAATCAAAACACTTAATTTGCAGAGTCTAAAAACTTATTCAAACTTTTTAATTAAATAAATTAGGCTTAAATATGCTTAGTCCTAATAGGATGAGTGTACTTTCTAAACTTAAAAATCATTGTATTTTATCCTATGTTATTATTACATGACACTGGTTAACTGCTTATGTGTCAAGTAATCATTCTAGGCAGTATCAGCTAAAGTGATAGAATGTCAGCAAGTAGCTCTAAAAAACCTTTTAAGATGTCTACAACGCTATTTGTCTATCCCAAATTGATTTTAGAGATCAAAATTAGAATTTTGGAAGGATGACAAACAAAGAAAAATAATTTACAAGGATTAAAATCAATTATTTTAAAATTTTCAAGGATGAAAAAAATAAGGGACCAAAGTCAAAACTCAATCATTTTACAAGAACTAGAGATATAGTTAGGGTAATAAATTATTCAAATCCATCGAGAGAATTATAATAGAAAAGCAAATTCAGCTGATATAAAAGTGCTTTAATCAATAAATTGTCAATGTTCAAGAAAACACACCACAAAATCTTCACGTTCTTCGGCAGGCGGAGGAGGGTCATATCTTCCCATGCGGAAATGCTCAATACCAGTCCAAGCAATCATTACACCTATTCAGTTCAAAAGCTTTCATGAACCATAAACAAACTTGTCCATATTGAATTAGTACCATCCTAATCTGTTTTTTAAACATTGGATAAAAAGGATATTAGATAAACGAAATGAAAATTCATGCAACAGCTAATTCTGGATTGCCAAAATATCTACAAAGGAGAGAATTGAAATATTACAAATGAGAAATGAAGTGTTTTTTCTATATCTTCACGAAGTGCATCAAGGAGACGGAATGTGGGGAAAGGACTCGCTCTAGATTTCATCTATATCATTTGTCAATGCCATTCTACATGGGTTAAAACAAGTTTGATTGACAACTGTTTCCCCTCAACGGAAATACAACTTCTATATAATATGATACAGCTTGATCCTTTAATTGCTATTTTAGTACTACATTTTAAGTCCACTTCAATTATGAGTTTCAAGTAATAAACAATAATTTATGCTGCTTTAATACGCACATGTATATGGTTATTTGTGTGTGTGTGTGTGTATATATATATATATATGGTGTCTGATCCGATCGATTAACAAGGTAATAAGTCAGTGCCAATGACAAACGTGGTACAGTGTCTGATCCGACCGGTTAACAAGGTAATAAGTCAGTGTTGATGACAAACGTGATGTATTAGCCAAACAATATATGGTCAAGGCCGTTCAGTGTATTCCTTAAGTTAATATGTAAGCAGGTGAATTGGACATGTGAGTGTTGGGTTGTAAATGGGCAAGCGCGAATATTAGTATTATTGAGCCAACATCAATGTAAGGTCCACAAAATATCTATATTATTCGGCTAACATCAATTTAGGGTCCAAAAAATACCTATAAATATAAGGGTAAGCTACAGACGTAAGGTTAGCTTAAATAAATTCTGATACTTAATTGTGAATTAAGTTCATTGAGTGAAATCTGACTTGAGCATCGGAGTACCTTTAGTACGTGCCCACCGCTCGGTTTGGACTCGAAGAGCTTGGAGCAAGTGACTCAAGAGTAACAAAGAAAGGAAGGTGACAACAGAAAGGTGTGTTTCTCGGCCCTATTCATTTAGATACTGAAACATTTTGGGCTAAAACCTATAGTTCTCTCCCCACTAACAGAGGTATCTTAGTCAGTAGCATCAACCTATCGTTCCTCACTCTCTCATTAAGTCTAGGGAACGTTCTAGGTGAACTCCTAGCGTCAACCGAGCAATGAGTAACGATTCCTAGTGAACTCTCACTCTCTCATGAAGTCTAGGGAACATTCTACGTGAACTCCTACCATCAACCGAGCAGTGAAGAACGATTCCTAGTGAACTCTCACTCTCTCATGAAGTCTAGGGAACGTTCTACGTGAACTCCTAGCATCAACCAAGCAGTGAGGAACGTTTTCCGTGAACTCTCACTATCGTTCAAGAAAACTAGGGAACATTCTGAAAAAACTCTTAGTGACAACCGAGCGATGAGGAACATTCCTAGGGAACTTTCATTTTCTTATCAAGTCTAAGGAACATCCTCGGTTAACTCTTAGTCAACCGATAGGTGATGAAGGCTCTCAGCGAACTCTCCTTCTTTCATGAAGTCTAGGAAATGTTCTAAATGAACGCCTGTCATTAACTGATTAGTGCATAACGACACACATGCATTATCATTTTCTCATTACGTTTGGTAAATATATAAAGTGAACTTTTGTTCACTTAATATGTATGGCTAATTGCTATGTTCACTCCACTGGTGGTATGCTACAGGCAACTAACTTCAGCATAGATAACATATTGCAAGAATGTGTGTATTTGTCACGAGTTGATATAATAAATAGCAAGCAACACAGATAATTGTTTTCACTAACAATCATGCATTTTAAGTTTCCAAATACTAAGAGTGTAGATTTCATAACCAATGTTCACCAAATCACAGAGTTTAAACCACACTTTCAAGATGCAACAAAAATATTGTAAGTGGGCACAGGTTAATTTATTATGTTAATCTCGTCTGCAACTACGCCCTCTACTGATGGATGCACTCCTTCTGGATCGCTTGTCACGTCTACTCCTTCATTGCCTTCTTCAACAACCACTTACTCTGTTGGTTCCACTGTAATTTCTACCTCAAGCTCTTCATTTGGAATGTCCTTCAGAGGAACCAATTGTCCGTGATATATGTCCTTCATGACATCAAAACCATCTCCATCAGTGGACACATTGAGAAGGTAGGGGATCTGCCTCATTGCCTTTTCAAAACCTAGGGAATGCTCTTCATAGATAGCCTTTTTCATTTCCTCAATTTGTATGTCTTGGGCTTGCAACTTGGCAATCAGGCATCCCTTTCACGTCGCACATCGCACCCAACTGTACTAAGGTTCCGATTGAAGGCAAGTAATTCATTCATCTGCTCCTTCAGCTTCAAAACAGTCTCATCGAGTTCTTGGTTTCGATTTTTATGGCCTTCAACTGCTTCTGCCAGTTCCTCGTTTTGTCTTTGTTAGATGTTAAGATGTGTGTTTCTGTTATTTGGGCTCAACCTATTCTGTATGAAGGGCATTGGCCCATATCTTACAATATAAATAAATTACCTTATGTGTATGCTCAACACACAAGGGATATTTTCTCCCAATCTTCTCTATTTCTCACATGGTATCTAGAGCACAGAAATAGTTCCCGCCAACTCCACGGTCTCCGGTACCCATCACCGCCGCTGTCGCTGCAGTCGCAGCTGCCGTC